CATAGTTATATTTAACATTGTTTCAAGCTTGAGTGATATATTTGCTAATCATTTATAAACTTTGTTGAGGTTTTGTGATAAAAGGTGCTGCTGTATTAAAATCAACCTTACAATGCTATCTGGGTGAATTCGTATTAAAGCTTGAGAAAATACAGAAATTTAAAAAATATTGTAATATTTATTATTAAAATACTTGGGAATATTTTTAAACGAAGAGTATTGTACAAGTCTTGTTTTAGTATATAAAAAAAATTAATCATTACTGAAAATGAATTTATATCTAACCAATTGTTTGATGATTGTGTTTGCGTACATGGAATATAAAACATTAAGGTTCCAAAAAATGATTCTATTAATTTTAAAATTGAAGTAATTTTATTTGTCGCAAATAAAAAGTATTAATTGTTGATTAATTTTATTAGTGTAGTGAAGTTTCCTTTTTAGATTTTTAAAAATATTTTGGAATAATTTTAATTCAAACAAATTAAAAATAAACTTTAGGCATATCGCTTTGTGTAAGATTCAAAGAAGTAATTTTTACACTCTTTATTATTTTTTAAACATTAAGTTTAATAGAAAAACCATTTGCTTGATTTGCTACAAAAACTACTTTTACAAAGTCTTAAATAAATTTGAAGTAAACCCTCCAAAATCATATTTAAGTAAACTCTTTTATATAAATACATTTAAACTAATACAGTTAGTTTTTCTGGATATAAAATATCGACAAACTCAATTAAGGAAGGTGAATTATACGGAAATAAAAATATAACAATTATGCGAAATATTCTGTATCTTTGAATATTTAATAATAAAATTTACCTATTCAGTTAGCATTTCTCAAAAACTAAATCGTTATATCCTACGCAAAAAATAAAAATGCTGAAACTCATCATCTCTGTGCTTAATCAGTGAGTTTAAAAAAAACATTTTCCACGGAAAAAAACTATTTGGAACTAATAGTTCAAATATACTTTCCCAACCAAGCTAATCATATCAAATTAAATTTTATACAAATATGAGAACTGTCGTTATAAATTCGTAATTTTTCCTTTTTCAACCGGAAAAAAAATAGCTGCGTTAAATCTCTCGATATTTCTTGACAATGACGCTCAAACAAAACTGTCGGAATATTTGATTCGGATAAGGAGTTCGTAAGACGAAGGCGAGAACAGATAATTTTCTTCGATTAAACGAGAGAATAACCATAAAAAAATGTTATTCTATCATTAAAAAGGTATAAAAAGTATATCATAATTATCTTCTTCGATAAACTTAATTAAAAGTGTTTTGACCCTTTTTTCGGAGTGATGCTTTTCATTTAACGCGATAAATGACTGCTTGTTTGTTAATTAGAAAAGCTTTATTTTTTTTTTCTTCTGTGAAATCGAACTCGTTATTTTATTTGTCGTTCTTGTTACAGTTTAGTAGTGTTCGTTTTCCTATGCTTTGTTGGCTTATTTTTGCTTTTTTTAGAACGAATTGTTATTATGAATTCATCGGATTAAAAGCTTTTAACTTTTACTTTTCATTAATATTGATGATGTAAAGAATATCCTTTGCAACAGTTTTCTGCTGAGAATTATACAAATATTAATTTAATTAACGATATAATGTTTTTCCTCATTTTTGCAGTTTTTTGCGCAAAGTTCATGCATTTCTTTAGTACTATCGTACATCAGTAATTTTTAGAAAATAAATAAGCCATAAGTGAATTTATAAGAAATTTACCAAAACAATCCTGTATCTGAAATTCGTTTAAATACCCTGCAGACTTATTTAAAGAAAACCATAATTATTAAAATGTTATTTTTTGTTGCTTAGGTAAAGTATTATTTGCTTATCGGTTTTATTTGTTATAAAATCTTTGAGTTAAATTTTTTTTAAAAATTGTACGAATTATTTTTGTTTAGAATTGTTTTAGATAGATAATTTTTAGATAAGGTAATATTTTGATGCTTTATATGTTTATTTTACTGACATAAAACTTTTTGATATATTATTTTTATTTATACTTAGTGCCTACTGCACTGTAAAAAATTTCAGATCAAATTATGGTAAAAAGTGCCAGCACTTAAGATGCTTAGGATGAAGAATTTTTTTTTACCGTAAAATCCATTTTTACAGGAACAAAAGAATCTGATACTGTAATTTCTACAGTAATAATTAACTGAAAAATCGCTGAATCAATCTAATCAAATAAATGTTACTGTAAAACTTACGTTAAATATTTAAAGGTAAATATTCATTTTATGGTAAAATGAATTTTATGGATAATGCGCCCAATGTACCGGTACTTTATACCGTAATTTCCTTCAGAAATTTTTACAGTGTGTAGTTACCATAGTCTTTTTCGCAACGTAACTTACTAAAGTATATTAATAACTCATATGCATAAAAGAAATTTTAATACTCCATATTTTAAGATCCGAAAAGATTTTTAGATGAAGAATTTTTAAATCCCAAAATTTTCCGGTAAAGTATTGTTTTTGGTAACACCTGTAAAGAGGGATAGCATTGACTGACCTCTTATTTCCGGTCCACTTTTTTTTAGGATTCTTAGAATTTTCCCAAATTAAAAATTATTACATAACTTTCCTTGGCTAGATGGGTTTTTTTTCGACGACCATTTCGGCATCAGCCATGGTGACTAAAAGGATTGAGCGTTCTCCTTTCAATGAGGTGTCCCATGTCCGAATGGATGATACGAATTCTGCTCCCAGTTCGCACCGACCACAATGCTGACATAAAAATTTCCTGAATGGTATTTGAATCAGGGGTAAGAATTAATTTGCCGTCGGACAAACCGTGGGAAGTTTTCATAGTTTTCTTCCATAAAAAAGTCCTCCTTGAAAAATAGTTTGTCCCAATGCTTAATCCAATGGTTCCCTTGTCTTCTGGATTGGATTCGAAATTTCAAGGAAACGGAATTGAATATTGATTGTCAGGATTAAGTCGGCTGTTAAAAGACGGTTATTATATAAAATAAAAAACCATTCAGCACATTGGTTATTTGACTTGGATGGAAATAGATTTTATTTAGGTTCCATCCCAACAGATTTCGGGTGAGAGGATAGGATGGTGAGACAGAAAAAAATTAAGCAATGCTGGATGTTTTAAGAAAAAACTAAGTGTGAAAAATGAGTATAACAAATATTTTTTAAAAAAAGTACACAGTAAAAACTTTTGGTGTTGAGGTAAACTAAATGTATTTTTAATTACAGAACTGTTGTTACATCGTGCCAAAACTTTTATAAATATGAAAATTGTTTTAAAGAATTAAAGCGAATACATTACTAAAAATGTGCTTTATTTTTAAGCCAAATGTCTTTGCAATCAAGCCGTTGAACTAATTTTAATACTCATGAAAATACACAGAAGAGCCATTACATTATGACCACCCTGCTAATAACATGCAGGACCACCTTTAGCCCTCAAAACTGCTAGCATTGCCGTGACATTGATTCCACAAGGGGCTGATAGGTAGTCTGAGATATCTGGTACCAAGCTCTCATCAACTGGTCCTGCAATTCCCTCACATTGCAAGGGGGTAGCGTAGCACAACGAATTTGGTTTTCCAAGTGAGACCGAAAATGCTCCATTGGATTAAGGTCAGGCGAATTTGGGGACCAAGACATGACTTGAAAGTCACTGGAATGTTCCTCGAACCAATCCATGACGATTCGACCCTTATGACATGGTGCATTATCCTGTTGGTAAACGCCATCCCCCGCAGGAAAAACTGTTGCCATTAATGGGTGAACCTGGTCTGCAACTATGTTCAAGTAGCTTATAGACGTCAGATATTGTTCTATGAGGATTATGGGTCCTAATGTGCCCCATGAAAACATTGTTCCTGGACGAGAAACCCTGAAAACCTGGGCGAGTCCATTGTTATAGATGGAGGGTGGTCATAATGTAATGGCACTTCGGCGTATATGTTATGAGTAAACCAAGCAACAAAAAAAATGAGTAAGACTGAAACGGTGAAAAAGTAAGTAAAAATGTAATTAAATGCACTATAAAAGACATTATTTTGTCTCAAAAACGGTGTTAACTATACACTAAATTTTTTACCGCGTAGTTAAAGAACTTACCTAAACCATTTACAAGTAAACTTTTCAATTGGGTCTTTAAAATAGTAAATATATAAATCTATATTCACTGTCTTTCTCTATGTATGTTAAAAATAAGTATTTTACATTTGAAAAACTTTAATCTGTATCCTATAGGAATTATAAGTATTTTGATATTTAAGAATTTTTAACAGTAACATGTCTCTTATCAGTTTATTTTTACCTTGCTTGTGTTATATTTACGTGAAGTCAAATCGATCTAACTTTGGTGATTACTTAACAAGAAATCCTTGTGGTTTAATTAAGTAGAATTACGCAATAATAAAGTAAAATTAAGTGTAAAAAAGTGCTTTCGCAGCTTTTTTAGTCTTTAAAAATAGAATAATTTTGCAAGTGTTTTGAGACCGGAAACTTTGTTTTTAAAATGTGCCAATTATCCAATAACTATAAGTTGCACTTTATTTCTCAATCTGTAAAACAATTATCACATTTCAGCAGAATCCTGAAAAGAAAACTATGAAGAAAGAAATACGCTTTTTATAATAAAGATTATATAGTTAAAACAAATTGAATTGATAAATGTGAAGTGAAAAATTTTTAAAAAAAATATATTAATAATAATTATTTCGCATAACTCTGTTATAACTGTTATTTGAAGAAAATAAAATTCAATTCAAATTTTATATAAACTATTTAACTTAATCTGTTTCCTTATTTCCCTTTTATCTTTGATTGTTTTTCAATGCTGAGTAAAAATAACCAACATTTTATCATAATTTTATGCAAGTAGTAAACATACCGGATACGTTTTACTAAATAATTCACAAACTATATTTTTTTTTAAAAAATTCGAGTCATAAAAATAAACATGGAATTATTTACAAATGCATTTTAAGTAACATAAGAACAATTTTCATTTTTCAGCTAAAACTGCGAAAAGCAGCACAAAAAGAAAGAAAGAAAAAAAACCGGAAGGTCTCAACGTAACACCACAACCATCGTGTGCGACAACAACAGGACCTCAACAGCAGCAACCACAGCCTCCATCACTTCACCAGCAACAGCAGGACAGTGACCCAGAGAGCGAGAAGAACAAGAAGAAAAAAGCTCGAACCACTTTTACAGGAAGACAGATATTCGAACTGGAAAAGCAGTTCGAGATCAAAAAGTATCTTTCTTCCAGCGAAAGGGCGGAAATGGCAAAGTTGCTAAATGTTACCGAGACACAGGTAAGTTTCATCATCAAAGCATTTGAAATATCTTTATATTTAAAAATTTTTAGCACTAAGTTCCAATAATTCAATTTTATTCTCTGTTTAGAAGATAATAATCATATTCAGAAATCTATAAAAACATACAGTTTAATCATTATATATGAAAGATTTGCGTACCTAGAGAGGGACTGTTATAAAATCCAAACTATTGGAAGAAATAAAAAACCGATTAATTCATAGTCATGCATAAAAAATTACATATTTTATAATCTCTATTATTGTTATTACATCACATATAAAAGATTTGCGTACCTGGGGAGGGACTGTTGGAAAATAAAAATACAGCTACTATTAGAAGAAACAAAAATGCCGATTATTATTATTATTATTATTATTATTATTATTATTATTATTATTATTATTATCATCATCATCCTCGTCCACCGAGCGTTGAAAGAAACAGAAAATATCTACTAAACTTATAACTGTGTATAAAGAACTACATTCTCGCATATAAACTGTACCGTCATCCGAGATTACTTAGGCCATCGCACAGAGAAAAAAATATGGTAAAACTACAGTACCGTATGGTGATGACACCATAATTATGGTTAATAAAAACAAGATATACGGTATTTAAACTATTCATTTAGTAATTCATTTAGTTTCCGATCATATACTAATAGTTTGACGAAAAATCTGGTTTCGAAAATTATAGCTCTTTTTATCACGCATTTTAGAAAAAATAATAAGCTTAAAAATAAATTTCACCAAAATAAATGGTTTTTATGCCATCAACTAAGGTATCATGGTACTAAATTTTACCACATTTGTCGTATTTTATCATATAGTATAAAACCATATTTTAGAGTTAATTTTACGGAAATCATTACCAAAGCACTTCTGTAAAAATTAAGGAGCTATTCCCATAGAGTCAAAAAAAAAAAACATGGCAAGTTTCACTGCATTCTGGTAATTTTGAACCCACTCTTTTAATCCCACTCATCATAACTTAGTGTATCGTAACTTACAAAGACTTATACATATTACTAAAAGATACATAAATAGAATTCTAATTATCCAGATAGAATTTTTTAAGATCTGAAAAATTTTCGATCCTGCCTTGATTTTGGTAACGGTTTGTGAGTAGGAATTGCATAAACCGAACTCTTTATTTCCTGTCCATTTATTTTTAACATTCTTAGAATTTTCCCCAATTAAAAATTAATACGTAACTTTTTTATGCCAGATGTTTTTTTTTGAAGGTATAAATGTCTAAGTCTCTTTAAAATAAAGGTATTTCAGTACATTTGATTCAACAAATATTTTAACGAGTTGGCCAATGGAATTTGACTTAGAAAGAATTAGACTTTTTTGTTCCCATCCCATCCTTTTTTTTCTTAGTAAGAAAACCCACTGTTTTGTGAAATTTGAAAGCATTTCTGACCTAATTTTTTGGTAATTAAGAAGTTTCTCAAACATTGCATTATTTTGGCTCATGAAAATTTCCATAAAATTGAATTAATCATTAATTTTGATCGTTTTCATACAACTGACAAAAATTTGTTAAATTGGTGGTTATGTCTCGCGTTAGGCAACAAATGCCATCAAATTTTTTCTAAAAATTGACTTTTTTAGCCTCCAGGGACAATAACTTTTTCTTTCAGAGACCATTATCAAAGAAAAATTTTCTTAATTCTAATTCTTTTAACATGTTCATAGTCTTTTAACATGTTCATGTTCATATTTTTCCTCTCTTAAAAATCATTTCAAAATTAAAATTATAAACCCTTGAAATGTTTCACGAAAATTTAATAATGCATTTTGATAGTTTTTTTTTAATTCTTTGAAGTAAAAAAATATTCATTTAAATATTGATGCAGTTATATTGTTACAGATACTCTACAACTAAAATTGTACGTTTGTTGTTTTTGATTACTATGACAACGAACAAAATTAACAAAACAAAACAAACTAAAATTAAAAAATAAAAACAGTTCATCTGAATTTTTCTTCAAAACAAATTCCTTATTTTTAATTCATACGAAAAATAATTTTTCAAAATAAAACTATTCAAAAATTATTAATTTCAAGGATCTTTTAATAAAACAAGAACAAGTACCCAAATTCAAATACCTGAATCAATGAAATATTTGGTTAATTATTCAACTTTTCTAAAAATAGGCTGAAATAGTGTTAGAAATAAACATTTAATACAACCGAAATTTTAATACCTAATCCAGCTTTTCTTTCTCATTCATAAAGAATGGCCTTATTTCTGGAAATGCTCATACATATTATATAAATGTCTTAAAAATGTAATAAATTATGGATATGACATTTCGGCCTTATTATATAAATATTTCTATTTGTTTAATGCACCTAAAATATATTATCCACAAATAAACGTTCTCATAGTTTTCAGCCCTCAAAAAGAACATATAATAGTCTACCACGCCATAAAATGTTTTCTAAGCTTATTACAAACAGTTTCAAGAAAGTTTTTTCAAAGCTTATTTTGTAAAATTTAAAGTACCAAACTGTTTTTAATAAGCGAGAAAATCGCCAACAATAGCGATCTCACCATGAAGAGGGGGGAAATGCTATTTGCAGTTCAATGCATATTGTATGACTCTATCTTGGAAAGACAAAATAGGTTTTAAATAGCCAGTAATAACCGGTTCTTCATAACCGGGGAAACAGAATCCCTTTAGAGAATTATGATCAGGTGAAACAAAGCTTCTAGGTATTAGAAAATAATCCAAACATTTTTCCATTTTTGTTAGCAAGTTTAGAGACTAAAAAAAAAAAGCAAACTATAATCTCTTTTCAGATTTTTTTGAAGACAACTCAACCCATTATGTATTCAAACCCGAGTTTTTGAAACGTATCGCTTCGACGCAAATTTTGTTATACTGTTCGACATAAAACATTCTTTTCTAATAGACGTGGAACGTTTATCTATTCGTCGAATATAATCCTCCGGGTAACTAAGAAACCAAGCATTTTTAACACAAAAAAAATTAAAATGGTTAAATATAAATAACTATAGGATATATTCCATTCTAAAGAACTTTGAATGTGTAACCTTAACTTCGAAATTTTTATTGCTTTGTTTTCCTCTTTTCCAGCTTATTTGTTTTCCCCGTTTTTTTTAAATCCCTTTTTTGAAATGAAGTGTAAGCCTTTTATTTCCCAAGACGTTCTTTTCTGACAAAAAATTCATGAAATTTTCGTTCACCATGATAAATTATTAATTATTTGTATTGAAGAGGTTTACTCGATTTCGATAGTTCACCAATTACGCATACCAAACATTCAAAAACTTTGTAAATGTTTTTTTAAAGGAAAAAAAAAACGCTAGATTAAAAACTTGACATGCGTCTTGTTTTCAGTTTGTTGCAAATTACGCTTTTAGAAAACTAACAAGAGTAAATTGAATTTTCCATTGCGGTTTCATTATCCGCTATTAGGAGTTGTTTTTTTTTTCAATATAAATATTTAAGCTAGAAGTAATTCTTTATTAAAACTGTCGATTAAAAAAGCTTCTGAAAAGTGAAAAAATAACTTTATACACTTGTAAATATAATTTTGGTTCAAAATCAACTAATGGTAAAAAAAGTTTCGCGACTCTTTTTAAAATGTATCTGTTAAAATACTCTTTTTAAACATCTTTTTAAATTCTTCATTTAATTTTTTTTCTTTTAGATTTAAAACTTTTATAATAATAAAATATTATTTCTACTGAAAGTTACTTTGATATACTTTAAAATTAAAAATGAATAAAAATCATAAATATTTTTGCAATATATTCTCTGTATTCAACAAACTATTTAAAGTTGTTTATGACAGTAATATCTTACGTCATCTTACATCTTAATCATACAATTTTTTAATAATAGTATATATCATCACATCATTGTTTCAATCAAAGAAAAAGAATTTTTCTTCACAAAAAAATGAATTATTTAATAAGGTTGATTAAGTAATGAAAGGAAATTGATGCATATTCTTGACGCAAAACAATCAGCAACAAAAAATTTATTATAATATTCAGTTTAAATATAATAAATAATTCAGTTATCTTCATATAATTTGAAACAATTTTTTTCTAAAAAGGTAAAAAAACTTAATACTCAGAACTTGAAGAAAGAAATATTAACTATAGTTTACAATTTTCAGATATTACAATGTAATTCCAATAAATTATGCTAAATTTATCTTGCCTTTTAAATAAATAAATAAGAATTATTGAATTTTATAATAACATTATTTTAAACAATTAAAAACAAACACATTAAGACTATTAAAACATTATTTGAATTTATTTTAATACAATTTTAAGAAACCTACTAACGTTGACAAATTCTATAATTAATACTTGAGAAAAACTATGAACTAGCTTAAGCCCAGGATAGATAATCAAAGTTCTTTTTTTTCCCAAATCGAAATATAAGTACTATGAGAAGAGACATAATAAATGCTTATATATTTTGAATTCTCATACATGTACTCAACATATTTTAATCAAAAAATAATAAAATATTAAGGGTAAAATATGAAAAAATTTATAGAAAATTGCGTTACAAGCGGCCATATCTCTATAACGTGGAAGTGAGTTGATCATCCAAAAGAGTAAGAGAAAAGTGAAGTTAAAATATGAAAAATAACACATTTCATCCAGTTAACCATTAAAACAAAACTTCCTGTAAGTTGTAAACAATGCATTTTATCATGGAAAATACGTGAGCTTGTGAATAAAGTGAATAAGTGAACTTGAAATGGAGACCATTAATATAAAACCATTAACGAAACCAAAAATTTCGTTGCTAGATTCATTTATTTAGAAATATTAACCGTGGTGGTGAATAAGAATTTACTGAATTACATTTTATTTACTTACTTTTGCTATTTTTTATTGTTGTTGTTTCAAATGTCACTTGCCTGTACCAACAAACTCGCTTGGTGAAACCAAGTGAATTTAGGCAGAGGGTGCGTTTCTTGGCTTTCAGTGT